AATGCAGCAACGGAAGTAAATCAAACAAAAGCAATGGGCTCTGGGGTATGTGACCAAAGAAAGAAGACTGAGCTCACTATTATAATGTTAAACTATGGTTTTGTTGTACAGATATACAACTTCAGATTCCAGAGGTGAATGCAGTTCCTCAAATCCCTTAGAGTCCCTCCAAAGCTGCCAATAAACCTTACTTTTTTAAACAGTAGAAAGCATATTAACTAAATTTAATTAATCTAACGAATGAAATTTGAACTGAAGCCATATCAAACACATCTAAATTTTGTCCGAGCCTCAGATATCTTTTGAGAGTATGTGACTCCAAAAATGCAGGCACTATTCTGAATGCTCCCAATTTATTGTTCAGTCTGAATATGCCCTCTCACACATTATACATGTATACCAAATATGTTTAGAACTACAACTAAATAATAGGAGTTTTGCTCTTCAAAATGAAGCTATTATATATAGAGAAAATATGGCCTATTATTGGGTTTGAGTCCCAGTTAAGAACAAAACACTATAGAACTTTGACTGTGTCCATCTAATCCTTGAAAATACTTCACAAAAGATTAGAAGACGCTGCTAAATGTTCACTGAGAGGAGTGATCTCTGAAAAATGAGCAAAATCATTATCCAAGTCCTTCTGCCTGATTTTGAGATGTCCCCTTCAGGACAGGCTAGTCTATTCATCAAAATCCCCCAATCCTTGGTGAAGTATTTTTACAAGAGAAATTAGGTCTGTCAGTCCCATTACACATTCTTAACTGCATATGTAACACAGAAACACACACGCACATGCATGCATACTGGATATATATAATGCACATTTTCAAATATGTGTCTGTGTATATATACATACATATTTGAACAGTGTACTTTTTCATTGTGTGTGTGTGTAGTGAAAAAGTGCATTGTTGTATAATTATTAATCAGGAATAATTTGATTTTGGAAATTGTTGCTAACTATTTACTTGCTTTAAACATCATTTATTAAACAAAATGGTAAATGCAGCAATTAAACATAGATTATTAACATAATAATATAATCAATCATGAGCCTCAGTGGTGCAGTGGTTAGAGTGCAGTACTGCAAACTACTTCTGCTGACAGCCAGCTGCCTGCAATTTGGCAGATTGAATCCCCCCAGGCTCAAGGTTGACTCATCCTTCCGAGGTGGGTAAAACGAGGACTCAGATTGTTGGGGGCAATATGCTGACTCTGTAAACCGCTTAGAGAGGGCTGTAAAGCACTATAAGGCGGTATATAAGTCTAAGTGCTATTGCTATAACCCATTTACAAATTATTTTAGTTTTAATTTTAAATATGGTTATTTGAATCCATTTGTTATACTTAAAAAGGATTTTAATAGAAATAAATTTAGTACTGGAATAAATAATTCCATCCATATTTTCACAACAGTATTTTTTTTATCTTAGGTACTCTGTACTATGTTCTGTGACTATTCTGCTAAACAGTTAGCAGTATTTGTATTATGTAACAAAAGTTTTAAAACTCAATTCCTTTTATGCAGACATGAAGAACATATGGATCCATTTATTTCAGAAGTATATCATTTAAATATTTTGAAATAAGTACCTGAAGACATTTCTGATGACCTACTATATTTAATTATTTTCTCCAATTGTTCCCGATTCCTTTTGCTGAACACTTTTGCTTGAACAAGTTCTTCTTTCCGAGTTGAAGGTCGACCATTGTTGCTCTTGTAAGGCTCACATGTACTAGAAACACTGGCACTTTCAAAACCTTTAAATAGATTTTAGTGTTACAACTTATTCTAATTCTACAAAGCTGTAACATTTTAAAATGTCAATCATGTCAATCTATTAAGCAAAATAGCTTAATAGAGTCTGAATAAATTAAATCAATCAATTTAAACAATTTAATCAATTTAAATAAATGTTGAGTCAAATACCAGAAACCATACCAACTAATTAAACCACATGTTACAAGACAGTACTATTTCTGAACGTTAAGCACTAAAAAAGAAATCTATAAGCATTAGCTATAAAATTTTTACAATGGAAATGTACAGTGCGTGAGAAGGCATTCATTCATGTGGGCTTGTCCCATTATCTTTATATTATGTTTTAATATCACAAAGTATATTAATAAATATAATTTATATGATAAGAATATTATTTTGAATAATATAGCAGAAATGTTATTTATTAGCATTAAGCAGCAAAAAAAGATTAGCCTTCAATATTGAAAAGTATAATCCTAGTTTTTATCATCATAGACCACTCTGCATTTAATTTGTTCACTAATTCCATAAATCCTTGATGGTCACTCCTCAAATTAGCTGGCCACAAAAATCTCAATATTATTGTAGGAAAATGATTTTAAACTATTGGCCTAATATCTGGTTCTTTTCTTTGTGACTACTTCCAATAACAGCCAATGTCTACCTCTTAAACTGGAACAATGTCATAAAGCAAAAAGTAATGACTTGTGGGTAAATAATCAAAATCTCTATAAACCTTGGGCAATGACCATGTGAAACATATACTGAAACATAATGGCATCAAATTTCATGAAGAAACAAATACATTGTCACAGATAAATAGCTTTGGCAAATGAGCAATTATCTCTCTTCACTGACATCTCCAAAATGAAACAAAACTTGGGCAAGCATAATATTTTGCAAACAGATGTAAAATATATATTCTAGATTATATAAGAGTTAAGAGGGCAAAAAAGAAAAAAGAAAAAAATGCTAATATAGAAAGCAACCCAAGCACAAAACAAACCCAACTTTATATATACAGTTGTCATACCATTAGCTCTAGGTCGTTTTTTAAACTGGGAACTACTCCTCCTCTTATTCTTGGACTTTGGTGTTTTGTCTTTTGAAGCCAGGCTGGCCTGTGCAGATGCTTTCCTGGGTTTAAATGTTTTTGTCACAGTAGTTGGATCCACCGGATCAGGCATGCTACTAAAGCTTTCCAGAGATTCTTCATCAAATTCCCTTCGTCTACTCATGTCAGGTTGATTTTTGTGATTGCTACATGCTGCATTTTGCACTGGGACTGCAAATCCAGTCCTGAGAAATGGCTGTTTCTCTTTTCTTCCTTCCTGGTACTCATTTAACCAAGGTGACCTATTTTCCATCTCTTCTTCAGGCTGTCTCTGAGTTCTTAACAAAGCAGAAACGTTCAGTCATAGTAGTAAAGCCAAACGTTTTCCAAGAAAAGTTAATAAGAAAAGTGAACACATAATTTAGCATAATTTTCCATTGCTACTTTGCATAAATCTCTAACAGCAGCCTTCTTTACAATGGTTCAGCATTCAATATAATCAATGTTAACAGCCTTCACCACATAACCTTGGAAATACACATACTGGGTTCCCAAAAAGAGGTTGAATGTGTCTTCAAACAATACAAAGGTATGGTAAAAGATAATAGGTTCCTGCCCCCACATTGTTCTATTTGAATCACTGATATTTTCAAAAACTTGCTATTGTCTAACAGTTAAATTGATATTTAGAATAATATGGTACTTGTAGCAAGAGAAACCAAAACTAAAATTATTCTATAATTTATTTTTTCAAATACAGTTTGGAATTAAAACCAACAATGCTCTAACTTTTGTCTTTATGCATTAACCAGCTGGGTGAACTTTGGGGCAGCCACTCTCTCAGCCCAACACAATATCACAGGGAAAATAGGAGGAAAGTGTCTTGGATATGTTCACCGCCTTTAGTTATTTGTAAAAGTAATAAAAGCAGGTAAACAAATAAATAAAATTTCAACTTTATTATCAACCTCTATCATAATGGAAATCAAGCTTTCAGTGCTCGGTGTTTTCTACCAAGGAAGATTACCCTATCCTTCTTTATTTTAAAAATAAAAGAAAATGTGAATCACCCTATTAGATCAATTGCTGCTGAACCCAAATGGAATCAAACTGATACTCAGTACCTTTGAGTAAAGGAAATTCCTAATTTCAACAAATACTGCATCTTAAATATATCACTTATAAGTACCTCTTTCATTATTAACCTGAGTTTTTAAAAGAAAAGAATACCCAAATACTTTCTTTTCACAAGCAGAATATCAAGTGTGAATTATAATGCAAGGCTGCTCGCCAAGCACTAGAAGCAGATACATCATATTAGGTTTCAGATACCTTTGGTTCTCTGCTCCAGAGGTAGAATTACTTTCAAATGGCTTTGGAAATGCCATATAGTCAGCTTTTCCAGTACTGTTATGGTTTAAGGTTGGCCGATATTCACTGTTTTGAGCATTACAATTATGTGAAAAGTCCCCAGATGGGAACATCTGGCCTAGATTGATGCCTATAAAAATAAATGAGATCAGAAATAGATTAAATACATAATTCAAGTATTTTTATCACCAGAATAGAAGTAAAGTAAATAAACGCTAAGATATTATTGGGTTTTCAAATTATGTTGCTATTTTTCTTCAGGATACTCACAATAGTTCAGATGAAATTATTCCATTTATAACCAAGCTATATTGCCTGCTATAAGAGTGATTTGAATCCCCGTAAATGAGATTTCTCTTATAATTTATACATTTACAAGGGAAAAAATAAACTTGAAATCAATTGTGAAGAAAATATATATATATTGAGGAGCAAATAGCAAAATCAATCTGTAGATTAAGTGCTACTTTCTCTGGCTGTAAATAAGCTTTATGTTCAACTGAGAATGTTCTCTTACAGATGAACAAATGCTGCAGGGAACGTATTTCACTTGTAGTTGATTCTAGGGTGCAGTAGGAAAGTTCAGTCTTAATCCTTTATTCTCTTATATAAAATTTGCTAACATGTGAATCAAAAGAAAAACAGCTTTAGAAAACTGAATTATTCAAATAAACATTATTAAACAAATATCATCATTTAAATTCCTTTTAGTTTTTAACAATTTCTCTTAATTCTTGATTACTGTAAGGCATGCAAACATGTGCTATCTTGTTCTTAATCTTTGCAAATATTAATGCTTTTGAATAACAGTGCATTATTTTTTAATCTTAATAGTACTGAAGAAAAATATTTAGATGGAAGCAATAAATTAAAACTGCAATCTAAGATGTCATATACTTTATTTTGCTATTAAAGAGGCAATTCTATAAAACATGAACATATTTCATTCGTTAGAAGATACTTAAGAGCCAAGAATTTGCTTTGAAGAAAGAATGATATGCAACTAGGCAGTGCTTTCTGGCCATTTGTTTGCAACAAGAAAATCAGTATCATTGCTACTCCAAAATTCTGAAAATGCCTACCTGGTGGGAAAGAAGAGAAATTTGTAAATCCAGGCATATTGAATAAGTTCATTGCTTGGGAAGGGAAACTAAAGGGACAAAACACAGTTGGTGATGGATGTGGTGGTGCTTTGTTGTCTTTCTCCTCTTCGGGTGTTCTGGCCTGCTGCTTTTCTTGTTGACGCATGAGATTATTTAACATTTGCTTCAACCTGTTAAGTAATTATTTATCAACAGAGAGCAATATAAGTTTGGGGCAAAATATTCGTTTTAGGGAAAGTAATTAAATTACATGTAATTATTGAACTTGGTCAGAATTGTGCAAACCTGTTGGCAAACACTAGTAAGCAAAAGCAAAGCAAATAACAAATACCAGTTTGCCATAAATAGCTATAAGAAAGAATACCACCAATATGTTTGTATTTAATATGTGCCTTAACCTCTATATGTATATCTTTTAAAAACTAAATAAGGCTATTGTAATTATTTCATTTTTGCTCTAGTCCCAGAAGTGCTTAATATTTTCAAATGTACAGTACCACAGTACTGTAATAGTAGTTTATTAATTGATTACAATCTTACCAAAAAAAATAATAATACAAGGTCTAATTATAGATGAAAGAAAATACAGTAATAAAGTATATATGTAGTAAATATAGTAAATAGAAGGAAATCAGCGTTTAGATAAAGGATATCTCATCTGTTTAATAAAGGGTTCTTATCTCAACCTCCTTAATTATAAAACAGTTCTGATCATAATATATACATTACAGCTCAGAAGGAAATAGGACAATCTACAACTCAGATCCCAGCAGGCTATCTTTCAAGTAGGGATGTTAAACATCTATGCCTATATAGTTGACTTCTTCAAGTGAGATAGCTGTTGTAAAGCCTCACATTTAGGACTATTTTTTCCCTGAATATTTTCAAAATAGGGGTCAAAGTACCTGGGCAATTATAATTAAATAATTATATAATCTTTTTAGCACCTTTACCAAGCTTCTTTTAAAATGATTTATCCACAAACCTATGTAGGCAATTCCTTATTTACTATTCCCAAATAGTAAAAATTCACATTCACAAAATTCTCCATTTATCTGACAGTCATATTTCATGCTTTTTGCTAAATACCATCACTTTAAATTTGGTTTTATTGAAGTTTAAAAAATTAAGAACATGGAAGGTATTTAACTTTCACAATAGTCTTCAAGGGCCTACTTATTACTGTGTCATTAGAAACAATGTCATTATATAAAAGGATATTAATAAATTTATCATGGATTTTCAGCATATAAGTGCCTGAAAAGTACAGGAATTCTAGAATATCAGAGACATAGAGTGAAAATCATTGGGGCTAAAATATAAACCTGTCTAACATAATTAGGCTAGGTATGCTTAGAGAACCACCACCACCCACCCACTACAAACTTTCAAATGGGTGTTTGAGTAGAGCCTTAACCACGAATTAGAGTGTGGATTCCATGTCGAAGTTGGCAAATTTCTTCTACAAAATGTTTCTCTTTATAAAATCAAAAGGTGCAGAGAGATCTATAAAGGTGGTAAACAGTTTCTTGCTATTAGTTGTTTTGTTATGAGATGGTGCAAAATGAAATAATTGTCTATTATGGGCACTCTGATCTAAATCCAGCTTGTTTCCTCCACTAAGAAATATCGTTCCATTCCCCGTCTTCTATTTTACTCAAAAGATATTTTGCATGCATTTTAGTTACAATTTCAATAAGGCTTATCAGTCTATAATTTTGGGGTCACCCTTGTGTCCCTTTTTATATATGGGAACTATAATTCCCACTGATTGGGATGACTTTATGTAGAAGAACAGTCCTGCTAAAAATGGATCAACCAATTAATGTGTGTCTTAAAGACTTCCGGAAGTAGAAAATCTTCTCCAGGCATCTTATTAGATTTCAGAGATTGAATGAATTTAATTTCTGATACTGATACTGGAAGCCAGGGAGGAAAGTTACAAAGGCTAGAGCAGGGGTCGCCAACCTTTTGGACCTCAGGGACCACCAAACTCATAATTTTAGATCCCAGGGACCACTATCCAGTTCTGTGGGCGTGGCCTAATTTGTGGGCGTGGCTTGGTGGTCATGTGACTGGCTTGGCATGGCTTGTATGTAAATATTATAAATATTTATATAAATATTGAATTTTTTATAAAAAAGAGCAACTTTTACCCAAAATCAGGCAAAGCAGGCAGATTGAGTTGCTCACAGAATCATTCAGTGATCTATCTGCCATCGGCTAGCTCAGTCTCTCAAATTTGTTTGCCATGAGTCTACACTGAATTTGCTTGCAAGCAAACCTTCTAAGGGAGGGTCGCCTATGCTGAGCCAAAGATCTAAAGACTAGCTAGAAAGCAAGAAATCCAACCATTTCCTGCTTCCTAGCTAATCTAAATCTCCCAGCACAGCAGAACAGATGATGGTCGGAAAATGGAAAAATAGCAATTTAGCAGGCAAGTTTACCGGGTAAGGAGTGAGTGGGCAGGGAAGGTTCTTGCGGGCCATGTAGGCGGCACAGCCTTGTGTTTCTGCGCAGCCTGGATTAATTGCTTTGTGGGGGTGCTCTGGGGGTGAGATTTCTCTGTGGCCCACCAAAACTTTCTCATAGCCCACCCGTGGGCCGCGGTCCACCGGTTGGCGACTGCTGGGCTAGAGTATCAGTAATTTGCTTAGTCAGAAGACCCTGGTAAGAATTAGTAAACATAAAACTTTTCTTAAACTGAAGCTGTAACAGGAACATAGAATTGAACTTTAAAAGTTCGTTCAATAAATTGATACAATATTCCAGAAAAAAAGTGAATTTCTTCCTTTTGCTAAAAACTTCAGATCTGACCATATTTTAGTAGTTCAGGGAGCTTTTTTTAGGTTATCAGTTTCTTTTAATCATGCTTAATTTTTAACATTTTAACACAGTCTTTTATGGCAGGGCATTCCTGGCCCTGGCGCATTGCTGTCTTCAGTAACTTACTGGTAACATGAATAGAATCAAATTTGAACGTATTACTGGTTAGTTTCTAGTTTCTAGTAGGAAGTTCATCTGTTAACAATTTCCAAGACAGATTGGCGTATTGGATCAGGATTTTATCTGGATCTTGGATATAGGAGGAAACGGAGTTTCTCGAAATTTAGGTTGTTTTGAATTCAGAAAGGTGGATATTGCCTAGTATCCAGCTTGGCTCAATTGAGTTTCTATTCTATTGCATTTCAAAATTAGTTACTACTATTACTATTGCTAGAATGCACCTCAGTAAATTATATTTTTGCACTGTTCCCAAAATTTTTGTACTTTCTTTTTCAGTAGTTTTCACATACAGAAATTTAATGAGTCAAGAATTTTCTTAGGTTCCTCAAAAATAACTAAATGCACATATTTGTGTTAGCTGCTATTTCTGAAAGGGTGTAAAGTTAAAGTGGATACCTTTGAACATTATTTTGTTGCCAGGTCAGCTGTGCATAGCACTGATTTAATTGATGCATTATAAGGTGTACTTGTGGTGAAGCAACATTACCAGGCATCACACTATAAGGGCCAGTAAGCAAGGTCTGCAGTAAACAAGAGAGCATCTGCAAAGAAAAATGTAGAGTATTTTTAAAGACTTTTTTAAAGAATGCAGTAGGTCTGATATATATCGGCCGCTATCATAATTATTTTTCCAGGAGCAGAATCTTAATCCAAAAGTTCTCCCACACTACATGAAGTCTGGCAGAAAATCTCTCAATTAATCCTATTGCTCAGAGCTCCATAATGTCTGGATTTGCTTTCAGTTTATTAAATCTTAATCAATTCTAGCTCCTGATTAAAACTGAGCAAGAAAAATCCAAACAGTTCATAAATTATTTAAGGTATATTACTGAAATCCTAACCATCCCAAAAATCTTTTGGCATAATTTTGCAAAATCTTTTGGCATAATTTTCAGAAAGGTGTTTTAAAATGGATAAAATAAAATACCACATAATAGCTCTCCAAAGGGAGACAAGTGCTATTTGCTACAATACTCATTTACAGATTCCTATTTTAAGATCTTGTGGAGAAAGACAAGGAAAAAAAAAAACTTTCATATAGATGAGCAGGAATAGATTGGATTTACACTGAAACATTTTAGGACTCTCTGTCAAAATAAGCCAAATTCACAATCTGGATTTTTTTTTTTTTTATCCATACTGTAGAAAGCTCTTTTAAAAATATTTTTACAATATACCTGTTGGTCCTGCATTAAAGTCTGACAAACACTGACACTGAATTCAAGATGCTTCTTTAATTGGTTAATTTGCTCTTGCCATTGTTCTTTCTCCTCCACATAAGAAAGTTCAGACATCCAGCGATGATTTTCCTGCCGTCGCATGCTGATGTTCTGTTGCTGCCTTGCTTTAGCTAGAGGACGGTAGTTTCCATCTGCTGAAAGAGGACGAGGATTCTTCCAGCTAAGAATGTTACAAAAAGGCATTATTATTCTAGAAAATAATCTCCTGGTATAATCAATTCATCAAATAAAAATGCAACAGATTTAAAAATTCAGAGACCTCATTTGGAGAATAACACATTTCCTCTTTCATACTGTTTTACAAGTGTGGTATCTTCATCACATGTGTATAACCAGTACTCCTTTTCTTTCTTAGGGGAGGAATTGCTTATCTTTGGATATATATATTGGTAAATATCTTGTTCAAACTGAACTTGTGCAAACTGAACTGAAACATCCCAAAGTACATTTATTTTATTCTTAGAAGTTACTG